TATTTAACTTGTATTTTTTAAAAAATATATTAAAAAATATTAATTATATTTTTTATAATTAATTTATATTTTCTTATGTACAAACCTTCTATTTTTCGATACATATTATGTGTAAACCTTCTTATTTGACAAAATTAACTTACATGGGCGTCTTCATTCTTCAGAATGCTCTGCGGCAACAAGGGTTTGTACGGATAGTTACATTACAGTACAACCTCTGCAATGAACCTTGGTCATTTCAAATCTCTTTTGTTTGACATTCTTTCCTCTCTTTTATTTTTATTCATTTATTTATTTATTGCGATTTTTGTGTGGCTACAGAGTTTTTGTATCATTGTATATGACAGATATTTTAAAGAACAGTTTAAGGGCAAATGTACTTGACTATATTATTTTTTGATTTATTTTGCATATGTATCTGTTGTGTGTCTTCTACAAATACTTCTGTATTTAGAAATTGAAGTAGATGGATGCTGCGGGAAATTTTGTTTCAACCTTTCTCTTCCTTTCTAACATTTTCTGTTTATTCCTTGAATACTTGAATATTCATGTGCTTATTTATTTCACATTTTATCAACTTCCACAGGATAAAGTATGGTATTAGTTTAGTATAGTTGCTGACAAGGGTCTCAAGAAGCCCCTTTATACATCTGCACGCTTAAAGAAGGGTGAAGTTCTTTATTTAGAGACTCATTCATGCAGGTGTTTTTTAGATTGTAATTAGTTCTTTCCTGGTGTGAATATATAGCAACTTTGAATTTCTAATCTGTAAAGATCTGAAGGCATGAGCTCTGTTTTACTGGTGAGAAACTTGTAAGAACCACGACATCATCTCAAACTCTTGAAGCGGAGACAGAGAAATCTCAGAACCATCACTCACATTCCATGAATGGTGAAAAGAACGACTCAGATAACACACTGGTTGATGTTTTCCTTTGGTCTCGCTGTAAGAAGGCCCTTCCCCAGAAAGCCATGCGTTCAATTGGGATCCCCTTGTCACTTGAACACGTTGAGGTAAGTCATTTCAAAACCAGTTGAGGTTCAGTTTCCATTTTTCTTTCTACCCTTGTTGCTTGCTTGTTCTCTTCTCACTGTGATCCTGTACGTTTTGATGGTAAAGGTAAGTGAGGAGAATCTGGGGTGGGAGGACGTGCAATGGACACAAACAGGTGTTTGGATAGCTGGGAAAGAATACACACTGGCACGGATGCATTTTCTTTCCAGTTAGCTGTTGTTTAAAGTTTATTAATTGTTACATGTGTACTACAATTTCATGCCTTCTAGGTGTTAAATTACAGGGATACTAAATTATTAGGTTCATCTCTTCAGCTGGAGAGGTTGGCACTTCCACAAGAAGACTGTTACTGTTGTGCTCTATTTTTTATCAGATAACACCTTCCCTTCTGTCTGCTTCTCTCACTGCCCGGGAAAACCCAAGGAGGGTTTAGGTTATAATAAACTATTTTTTGGCTTGGTAATGGTGAGATTTCGAAAATTCTTCGCCAACAATTTAGTAGTCAAAAGTTAGGATTAAAGTGTTGGACTTTATCCATTTTCCTGGTACTTGATTTCCTATTTGATTCACGGTGCGGTATGTAGTGTACTTTATGGACTTACTTTTTTTTTTTTCTTTTTTTCTTTTTTTGAGTAAAAAAATTGACCGCACAA